GAGATAACTTAAAATAAGGAGAAGAAAAAAAAGTTAAGAAAAACCTAAAACACCTGCACCTGAGACTGTTTGGTAAGTGATGCCACAGATTTGTTCTTCTGTCTTATTTCCCCTCGGTGGGCTGGGAAGTGATGCCACTTGGGATTAGACAGCCTCTCTGAAAGGCCCTTCTGCCTCACTGTACTGGATGGGATATGAACTCAGAAGGGGAGATACACACACTCTTATTGTTTTGTTTTGTTCCCCCCCCCTTTTTTCTACAAGACCAATGCTATTTTTATATTTTGTCCAGTCGCAGGCAGAAATGAAAACGGGCCTGCAGGAAAACCTCACAGACTGCATTTAGAATTCCAGTTCTTGGAGTAAACATGGCCGCTCTACACCAGCCGTCTCTGGTGACGCTCTGAGTAAAGTATTCGGCTGCTAACCCAAACGTTCAAACCCACCAGCCTCTCCATGGGACAATGAGGCGGCACTCTGCTTCCCTGTGCAGGCCTGGGAACCCTACGAGGCAGTTCAACTCGGTCCTGCAGGATCACTATGAGTGGGCATGGCCTGGCGCAAAGGGGCTGGTTGAGGCTGAGCTGGACCCCAGGACCAGGGGCTCCACACTCCCTTCCCTTTGCTCGCTGGCCATCTGTGTGAAAGGACTGCCCCCAAACAGTCAGCATTCCCACCCCCCCACCCCCAGAAGAAGGTGCTCCTCTCCCCAGAAATCCCAACTGGAGGGCCAAATAAGGCCCCCACTTGGTGCTGTGGACTCCCCAGGTTTCCCACCTCCCCCACAACTCCCCCAGCAGTCACCTTTCACGCTAATCACTTTACAAAACAATCTTTAGTAAAAAATGGGGGAAATGTAGACTTGTGAAGCAATTTAGGGAATAACTGCTGATACATCAGTTATTGACTATCTCGTTCCCTGCTCGTAAGCGTGCTCAAGGCAAAACTGAGAACAAAATGACAACATCAACCGCTCCAATCCAGTGTGGCCCTGGAGAGCACTGAAGCCCTAACTGACAGTTGTCAAGATAATGGGGGCACCATGGCTGATTCTAGAAGATTCTCTCGCCGACGAATACATCCAGGGGAACAGCTCTGCCTCCTGTCTCCTTTGTTTTTCTCTTTCATTTTCTTTATTTTTATTTTAAAAATTCACGTTGGTTCTCTCATTCTGTTGGAAAGTGGTGTGGGGACTGAGGGTGGAATCCAAGAAGGGCCCAAACTCGTCATTTTGTCACCTTGCCACAAAGTAGACTATCAGCCCAAAGGGAAATACGTAGCAGAATTGGCAGCACATAAATTCCCAAGATTGATACCGAAAGGCCCTCCTGGCTGCATCATGTGCTTCTGAGGAGAGCAGGGTGCCTCTCGGGGCCGCCGACATGCAGACACAATTTAGGCAGGGTCACCTGGCCACTGCCAGATGTGTCATCTCTCAGGCCTGGCCCATGTACATAGGGACATAGCCTCTTCAAGCTCATCCTGTTACATCTGCCATCAAAACGTTCCACAATACCATCAGCCCACCCAAAGAGGTCTTTTAACAGCTTGTTATAGCTTTTTTACGATTTTAGATTTCCTCCAGAAATGATTCTGACTGGATAAAACGTTATCTACTCTTAAAAGGCTGCTCCAAAAATTTTTTCTGGCATTTCGAGAAACTCTTCGTTTAAAAACAAACATACTGCCTCAGAGAGTCAGATTTTAAGGCAAAGGGTAATGGTCAGGCTGCCTCAAGGACACTAGCCTTCACTCCCCTTGCTTCTCTGAGCTGTCCTGGGCAGGCGGGACTGTCTAGCAAAGATGCACAGCCCTTTTAAATGACAGGCCTGGAGAAAAGAAAACTCCTGCCCAGGTTTCTCTTTACAGGTGATGAAACTACCCCTCCCCCAAAAGACATAAGCCATGCATAATTTCCTTTCTCCCAAACAAAAAAAAACAACAACAAAATATCCTTTATTCTTAAAACCTGTCTTTTCAGGGATTCTTGGAGCCTGCTTTGGCCTTCCAGAGAGCAATGTTACATGTGGCCTAGATGTGCTGTGTGCACCTGTATGCTGAGTCTGTAAGCTCTACCCAGCTCTCAGCCCTTCTGTGGTTGTTATTCTACCCCAGACCATTAAAAGGGCCCTAATTCCTATGACATGATTATCCAGGTACCAAAGCCCATTTGTCACCTGCAGCAGAAAATTGAGTTAATGCACAACTAAAGGCAGCCAGGACTGTGTAATATCAACTTGATTACATCAAACTAGCTGCAAACCTAATTCTGCTGGATGACACTGCGTTGAGCTTGTCATCTCCAATCATTAAAGCTGTCAGAAATCCATCAGGTTTACAGCTAATTAGGTGAACACTAATGAAGCTGGCAAAACAACTTTTCTTTTTTTATGGCTGAGCGGACCTTTCAGTTTGGGGGGGGGGGAATTCTGGAGTATTCTCAAGGTTGCTGGGGACTGGATTTCCAGTTACCAATCAGCAGACATCTTTCTTTTTCCCACTCTCTCTCTATTAGTACAAAGCAATCAATTTGTCATCACTCCCCGTATGCCACAAAAGCAGGCATGAACCTTATAACTTGCAGCTGTGAGAACTATAAAAAGGAAGAAAAAAAAAACATTGGAAGTTTCTTGTCCATCCACACAAAAAAACTCACACAGCTCACTTACTGGCTTATGCATAGTTAGCGCCAGCCCCATTCTCTCCACTCTTCTTAAATAAGTAGCCCTTCAGTCATTCTCCAACCCCTCCTCCACACATCCATTAGGCAAAGGCATTCTGATAAAGTAAATCCAAAACCAGGGTATGGGAAAGAAAGCAAGCACTCACGCTGCCAACTTCTGATTGACCATTAAGCTATTGATGAATGTGCCTGTCAGGAGAGAGACAATTAAATCAAATATGAAACAAAGTCGTTTTGACGGGTCATTTTGATAGAGCAAAACCATTCTTCCATCTCCTATTAGTCGTGCAGTCAAGTTTTTTATATAATGAATATTTCTTAACTGACCTGAGATTTCCTGGCTGGCTTTTTAAAAAGGTGTAAAAAAGGTTAGTGAACAGGTTGCTTGAAAAGGGGGGGGGGGGAGTACATGTCGACTCACTCTAGCCCTCATTTAAAAAAATTAAAAAAAAAATAACAACAAACAAAAAGCCAGCAAAACAAAACAAACATAGCAAGGAAGAGTTTTACTTTGGCAGGATGGACCAGAAAAGATCAAGAGAGTTCTAAACCAAAGGCAAAGATGTAACACATGGTTGCCTTGTCCAAGGCACACAGACACCTTAAAAATGTGCATCCAAAAAGGAAAGAAAATGTTCAAAGACTGAAAGAAGCCCAAGACACTCTACTGCTCAACTTTTGAAGGATGCCTGCAAACTTTTAGAGTTTTATTTGGGGCAGACAAGCCCACTGAGACTTAACGCACAATGTGAGATGGGCAGAAAGGACCAGCCTGGGTTGAGGTGGGAGGTGGCATCTTTTCCCTCCTGTCACGACTAGGATTATCAAACTTTCTAAATTTGGGCAAAAGCGAGGACAGTGAACAAATTCCGCCTGTATTATACGTCCCAAATACAGTTTGTTGTCTTCTAGGATTTGCTGAGAGGAAAGCTCATTACAGGGCGATGAAAGAAAACCAGTTCCTCTCTGTGACCCTGGGTAAAGAGGTTACAAACCAGAGTGTAGGCATAGGCTGCCTACTGGCCTGATGGAAATCCTCTGGTTCACTTTGAGCATGGTGGGTACAGTGCCTCCCTGCAAGAAGGGCACCTGCCAGAACAGGGCCCTTGCCTCCAACTTCCCCTCTTCCACCAAAAGAAGAGGAGCTGAGAAAAAAAGAAGAGAAATGAACTTCCACTTAACCCGCCCGTTCATGTAGCATCTGAACCTCTGCACATCTGAGTGTTACTCATATCAAAATACATCATGTCCATATGTGGTCCTCTCGGCAAAGCGCCCAAATCCCTGAAGTTGCACTGACAGGGCCCTCCTGACGTAACAGAGCTTGGCCTCACTATTGCCAGTGATTTATTGATGTTTATTGGGAATGAATAGATCAAAGGCAGCAGCATGACAGGCGATCAATCAGTCATCAAATCAAGGGTGGCAACTGGCCAGAAACCCTTCTTCCAAGCAGCATGCCCCTAAACTACATTATTGAAAAATAATGTTATGTGTGGGGGTCTTGTTTTGTTTTCAATGAAGCTTTTTCCAGGAAAAAATCAGCTCAGTTTTAAAAGGAGTTGACACTCCTGGCAGGAAAAAAATAAAGGGGGGAAAGAAAGGGAGAAAAACTACTCAGACACGTCCCAGAACTAAGTGCAGAAGAAGGTGGGAGAAGCTGAAGGAGGGGTGGGGGTAAGGGAAGACAAACAGGGGTGAGCATAACGCCAGCCTCCAACACCGACTTGACAGGCATCTGACAATACCCAGACCCTGGGCGCTTTGGTTTCCACCGCTGTGCCCGGCTCGGGCCCAATAACTGAAGAATCCAATCGGATTAGCAGTAAGGTGGTGGAAGGGACCGGCTCGCTCACTAGCTTGCTTGCTGTCGCTCTGCAGGCACCAGGCGGTCCCCTGCCGTCCGGCCACAGGAGGACACGGAAGGTGTCCCAGGGAACTCAGGTGACCCCGCCCGCCCCCCACAGAAAGAGATAGAAGGGGGTTTCTTTCCATCACTTCCACAGCCAGAGAGCAGAGGTGGCAGGGACCCAACCTGACTCAGTTCGCCCCGAGTGCGCGGTTCCTGGAGGGAGTGAGAGCAGAGCAGTAAGAAGGCAGAGCTCAGCGGGGCGTCCGAGGGGCGCCCAGTACCCGAGCCGGGCGCGCGCACCCAAACAGGACAAGCGGCGAGCGAGCCTGGCGCCCCAGAGTTACTCCACGCCTGCAGAGGGAGAGGGGCGAGGAGTGAGGCGAGGAGTGGGGTCGCCGCCGGCCGGAGGCGCCGAGCTAGGAGAGGAAGAGGAGGAGGAGAGGAGGAAGGGGAAGCGGCTCGTACCTGCTGCGCGCCGGGGCGCCTGCTGCTTCCTCCTCGGCATGATGCTCCTCCGGCGACTGCCACTGCCGCCGCCGCCGCCGCTGCCGGGCTGAGAAGG